CCCCCCCCCCCAACCTTCCTAGTTTGATCTATTGAACCCAGTCAAAGAAATCATGTCTCCTCAAAACCAATGCAGTGAAGTATGGGATATCAGAAGGGGGACTTGAATAGCCACCATAGCTACCTGCACATCATCGTCACTGTCAATCTCCACAGCAGCTGAAAGAAGTGTGCTACCTCCTCCCTTGGCATTATCACAATCTTTACCCCCTTCATCATTCGCACCCGGCTGCAGCACAGCACAGCACAGCACAGCACAGCACAGCACAGACCCCAATTAGAATGTCGAACTCCAGCCGCATGATCTAAACCTTTCAAAACCAGTCTCAGAAAACCCAACGAAAATATTGGAAAAAAAATGCAAAAATGCCAATCATCACCACCTGCTACCGCATCAGCTGGGCTCACACAAATGCAGAGATAACATATACCATACTGCTGCTAATTGAGATGTCCCTTTCCATCTCATGGACCCATGTCACAGATGCAGGAGTAGTTAGCAACACATAAAAAGCACAAAGGAATCCTGTTCCCAAGGATTTTCCAGTAAATTGAAATTACAGGCACACACAACCATGAATCATCAACTTCATGGCTTTCGGGGGCCTTTCCTTCCCAAGCTTCCGGGAGGAAGATATTGGAAGTGAACTCGCGCATTGTACTGGCAAGAGAGAGAGAGAGAGAGAGAGAGAGAGAGAGAGAGAGAGAGAGAGAGAGAGAGAGAGAGAGAGACAGACAGACAGACAGACAGACAGACAGACAGACAGACAGACAGACAGAGAGACAGAGAGAGAGAGAGCACGAACACCCGTCTCTTCCTCCCCTCCCCCCACCCCCCTCCCCAACACACAGATCGCAGTCATCCAAGCACCCAAACACCTTGTTACCCAAGTGGAGCCTCAACCCCACTACCAGTACCATATTCCGAGGGGCACACAAACTCGAGCCCGCTTTCGTAAAATTACGCTTAGCATGGTTCTCCTTCGTAACAATACCAATGGTAGCTCCACATTGACAATTTAAATGCTAACCCCTCATGTTTTTGAATCAATTGCACAAAAACCCCCTGGAGCTTTTGAACCAATTGAGCACAAGTCCCTGCAGACCTAAGCTACGCCGTTAACCTTTAAAAACAGATCCATCAGCCGCTGTCTATTTCACTCCCTTTCTTAGGGTTCTTTTCACCTTTCCCTTGGGATTTGTAGAACACTATCAGTCACTGAGAAATACTTAAGGCTAGGAGGGTGGCCACCCACAGTACTCAAACACAGCGCATTCTACTAAGGCCTAAAGTGTAGCAGCCACAGTACTCAAACACAGCGCAGCGCATTCTACTTCTGCCACTGTTACTGACACCGTCTTTGCCGCCAGCAAATCTGCAATTGGCTGCAATGGGCCCAACTTCACCAAACTGTTAAGATCTAAAACATAGGTTCCTCTCTTCTAGAGATGGCTACCTGAAGACAACCCACCCACCCATGGGTGCCAACACCTCTCCAGGACTCCAGCAAGCAACATCATTATAATATCATAGCAATCAGTGGTAATCACGATCGTCACTTCGACAGAGAAGAGGGGAGAGTGGACCAGCAAGAGAGCTGTAGACAAAAAAAAAAAAAAAAAGGGATGCATCAATCACATATCACTCACCACTCGTTGTCTTTTGCTTGCACGGCTATCCACATCAGCTGGTGCGTCTTCACCGCCAGTTGACATTGCTTGACGCTGCCGAATCCTCATGCGTATAGGAGGGAGGGGACCACCATGGAAGAGATCATCATCGTCTGATGACAGGTCTTCACTAGAATCTTCTAGTGTACAGGCGGGACTCGCGTCACCATTGTCGTCACTCGAGTTTGCGTCTCCAATCACGATGACTGCTGGCGCCTCTTCCTGATGGGGATTGTCAGCCAGGTTGCCACCAGCAGCACATTCCGTGCTTTCCCCGGTGTTTGCACCCCCCAGAGTGATCAATGCCTCCGGCACAAATAATTGCTCGACTTCTGGAGGATTAGCCGATGGTCCTTCATCAGCATCCAGGTCAACCACAGCCTGTCTCGTGGTAATTACGCCCGCAAGAAAGGATCGCAAGTCTTCAAACTCGGCAGTCTCCAAGGTCTTCGCCACAGTAGCAACGTAGAGTCACACAAAGGCGCGAGACACGGGAGCATAGAATAAGCATAGCGTGACATGGCAGGGCATTGCAAAGTATAGCCACAGCCAATCATACCATATTGAAAGCCAGACACATGCCAGGAATACATTCTAAACAATTCATATTTTTTTCCCGCTCGGAACGCAAAAGAGAGTCCCAGATTACCAAATTTAAAACCCCCTCCCCTACTGATCCTACCGAAGATGCGTAAAGCAGAAAAAGAAGGACCAAAAGGAAGGAGGGTTCCCCGGGTGGAGAAAATAAAAGAGAACTGTGCAGCAGACATTCATTTGTGACACCGATCAGGTTATAACATAATGGATTATGCCCAATCCTAAAGCAGTGTGCCACGAGGCATTCTCAATGCACCACGTGTCACGTGGCAAAAGGAAAAACATTTGAATGTCTGCGCCGAAGACTGCAAAAGTGTCGGTAGACATCGACATGTTTTTCCTTTTGCTGCTAGGTGCCACGTGCCACGAGGAAAAAGGAAAAACATTTGGATGTCTGCCAAGTTGGGGTGCCAACATTTTGGCAGACTTTGGCGCATGCCACAAGACAAGGAGTGGTTTATCTATATTCTTGTTCGAACTTCTAAGTGATGCTATCCTCTTTCTTTAGAAACAATAGTACGCAGTGCTCCCCGGTGCGTTGTCCAGAGAAGTACATGAATCGGCAGAAGAAGAATGGTCCTCGTACCAGCGGGCCTAGCTCAGTTGGTACATCTATAAACTGTTGAAACGCAGACCTGAGTTTGAATCCAGACCTAACTACAAAAAGAATGGTCCACGTAGATCGTCGCCGATGTGTGGTAGGGATAGCTGTACCCCTCCGTCTTGTGGTTGGTGTTATTCTCTTTCTTCGGCAACGATGGTTGGCAAGGCTCCCTGAACGTCGACATGGCAATGTGCACATTTCAAATAGAACAGTGTGAAGTACTCGATTCTTTTGAGATGCGCTTTGTGTGGGAAGCTGCACTAAAAAAATATTGCATTTCGCTTAAAATCGGGTGCGAACTGGAAAAATGCATGTTACCCAATGACGCAGGAAGTCTAACAGATCTGTTGGTATGAGCGACGATATACCTGTGTGAGTTTTTTCTGTGGTCCGCATGTGCATTTGTGTGCATTTGTGTGTGTGTGTGTGTGTGTGTGTCTTGGACTGTCACCTGAACAACCCTTTTTCCACCCACATGAGTAGGTCCAAAATTGAAACATACCTTATAATCTGCTCTCGACTTTTTCAAGTGAAATTTGATATTTTAATTGATTACAATGATTTGATTAACGTAGCATTTTGATGAAATGGCCGTTTCTTTGGATAAACGCAGGCAAAATTGCATCTGCACACCTCTTAAGAATGGGAATACCCGCTATACATACACCCAGTCCCAGCACCAGACTTGCGTCTATGCCCAGGAGATGGCGTGTGCAAATTATTTGCATGCCCAGGACCGAGGTAGGCGGGCGATAAAGTGCAATTATTTGCACGCCCAGGACCGAGGTGGGCGAAGGTCGGTATCGAAAAATTGCAGTTGTACCCAACTACCGAATGCTCAAATTGTGCACATACCCAGGCAAATTATGTGCACACACACCGCATGCCCCGCATGCCCAATTTTGCCTGCCCAGTTGCTGGGCATGAGCATAATTTTGTGCTTCCCAACCAAGGGCCTGTGGGATCTGGTACATATAATTTGGCACACAGGAAAAGTTAGGGTATTACGGTACTATTACCAAGTTGGACAGGGTCTGGGTATAGATGCAAGTTGCGCGCTTGGACTAGGTATAGTGGGAATTCCCATCTTTGAATGGGGTACAGATGCAATTTCCCCATCTTTGAAGGGTGCAAGGACCATCCCATGTCTGTGTACTTGAACCACCAGCCCATGCGAAGCTAAATTGACAAACCCAAAAATGCATATTGTGCCGAGCCTAAGAGTGACCGGTACGGACCGATGAAAAATCAACGTTGTACCAATACCGGCCTCGGTATTTTGAAAACTCAGGGCCCATAGTAAGTAACTTGGTAGTTACGATTCATCCGCTGCTCTATCGGCCCAGGGATAGAACTTGTGTACGAAAAAGGATGAACAATAACTTTGGACGCACTGATGGTTTAAGTGTGGGATGCATACACAGTATTACACACCCCTTCGCTGTTCCAGCACACCTGTTTGCTGTTCAGCACAACTGCACTTCATATTTTGTCTGTTCTTTAGAGATTCACGCTCTTTCAAATCCGTTTTGTTGTTGTATATGGTGTGCGTGTGTTGTCATGTTTGATATACACACAAGTCCACACAAAAAAAAAAAAGCGCGACTGTGCCAGACTGTTTCATCTGACTTTCATCAACTCATCAAACAAGGTTTGAGCACACATGAGTTTCATAGTGTGTATCTGAGTGTGTCGAGGGTTGAGAGAGAGAGAGAGAGAGAGAGAGAAGGGGGGGGGGGGGGGGGGGAGTGTTAAAACAGGACAGCGACTACTGCCACAGAACAACAACAAAAATTTGAACCCCCACAGCAGTGGTGTTCATGATATGATCGAAAGCTAAAAGCATATGAACTGTTATAAATTACTCTTCTGGGGTTCTTTTTTTTTGCTTTTTTTTTTTTTTTTTTTTCCTCTGGGCATTTAACTTCGACGTTCCTGGACACAATTTCGGCTTTTTGTGAGCCCAAAAAAAAATGCCAGGCCCTACTGGCAGGATCCCAGTAAGGCCTATCGAGTTCGGTTCAAAAAAATGCTGAAAATTGCGGTCAGGGACGTCGAAGTTAACTGCCCAAAGGGGTCTGATATATTTAAAAATTACTAAATTAAATATATGAGCTAGACTGTTGAAATACAGACCTCACTTCAAATCCCGATGCCATCTGACGAACAGAACAACAAACAATTCTGAATTACTTGGGGACGGTCTGTTCAACGATGATATCTCAAGGCCATCTCGTCCTTTCAAAAAGAAGAGAACTGTGTGCTCTCCCATTCCCCACAACGGTAGAGCTTCTCGCACATTGCTTGCTTTGGGGCAGTTTTTTGGCAGGTTGTAATGTAGATGGTGTGCTATCTGCAATGGCGTGCGTGCAATCTAAGTGATAACACTGATAACATTGATAAGTGATAACCACTACCTCAGAACATATGACAACGTAAAATTAAAAAAAAAAAAAAAAAAAAAGGAACGTATGACAAAGTTACCACCGTCTTCACCCGAACAGAACGCGTCCAGTCATTATAGCCACGTTTTTTTTGGGGGGGGGCAATTCTCAGTCCAAATGCAGGCATAATGACGGGGCGTTCTATTTGGGTGAAGGCGGTAGTAGTTGGATTAAGTGTGATTGTAAGTGGACTTGGGTTCTCTTGCTGAAAAAAGAAATGCTCAGTCATTGGATACGTCTTCGCTCCAAAAGAAGTTAATTTACCTCTGCGGATTGGGAAAATAGGGAGGCCTCCAGATGGGCCTCCGATCTTTCAGGAGGCTGAAATGAAACGACGGCCGCCGATGCGATTTATCAAAGGTGGCCGTCGTCGGGCCCAGCCTCCGATTTTTTAGGAGATATCTATTTTCCCAACACTGGCGGAGGTACTCGTGGTTTCCGGAAGAAGGGAAAAAAAAAAAAAAAAACATTTGGCACATCAGAAACATCAGCACTCCAGCAATACAAAGGGGTGATGGCGTTCATGCCCAATGCGAGCCCAATGCATCTAACAACGTACTCAGAATAGGACTTCCTTGCATGTTTTTGACGACTATTACACCTAGGCTCACTCCCGGAAAGCCCTGGTCTGGTTACAGCCAAATTGACAGAAACAAGGTCTCCCTTTGGGATTATTCGCTTTGTCGCACCGCTGGATGGGCAAAAAAGGCGAATAGTTCTCTGGAATACGATCCCCCACTTTCTTTTTTTTTTTCCCTTTTCCCCTGGTGCTTCCTTGCGCATAGCAAACCACACCAGTCTCATCAAGGTAATCCGCTGTGCAACTCCGTGACAATCATGGAACGCGCACGGAGAGAAAGAACAAGTATCATCAATTATCGCAGAAAGAGCACTGAAACGTCCACGAAAGCATCACAAACAAACATCATCATCGTGTGACAACAAGCACTGCAACATCACTGAAACATCACTGAACCATCACTGAAACAACGCACCCAACATGGCCACATTATGAAACACAGAACAATCATCGCAACATCCGGGAAAGAGTCAACATGTATCTTGAAACGAAGAAAGTGACAAAATTTGAATTAAGCTAGCGCTACTGAACAAAACAAAATTGGATGATTGGACAGGGCCTCAATTTCCGAGAAAAAAACTTCTAGTATCAATTGTAGATTGAACAATACTCCAAACCGACACAGGTGCAGCGGAACCGTCATGCACAGGACCATCCTGGGACAGCGAACTTTCATCGAAAGTCCCTCGTTCGAAATTGATCACCATGATAAAACACCACGGAACGCAACCATCAAGCAACGGAAACATCATGGCATCATCAAGGAATCATCAACAAAAATAATCATGACCATGGAATGCAACCATCATGCAACAGAATGCAAAAACATCATGGAATCACTGAATTATCGCACAAGCATATCGAGTTCATCGAAAGTTCATCGAAAGTTCAATCAAAAGTTCATCGAAGTTCATCGAAAGTTCCTGGCTACGAATTGATCACCATGATAACAACACAGAACGCAACCGTCAATTATCGCGCAAGCAATGGAGACATCGCGGCATCATCAAGGAATCATCACTGAATACCATCACGACCATGGAATGTAACCATCATGCAACAGAACACAAACATCATGGAATCGCTGAACTATCGCGCAACCATCACGAGCATGGAATGCGACAATTGGGCAACAGGACGTCAATCATCGCTGAGCAATCATGGTACTATCAAAGGGAACCAGCATGGAATGCAAACCATCATGAAATCATCATGGAATCAA